TAGGCGGCTCTCCATGGGGGCGCTTCACCTTGAAGAGCAACCGGCCATTGACTACGTTCACCCTAGGTGGGGGAACTGCGTCGACGTAGGTACAGGTAGCCCTCCAAGATGCCATCTCCTGCTCCATGGCAGCTATCCATTGAGAGGCCCAGGGTCACGAGGTCGCCTCAGCGTAGGTGCGAGGGGTCGGGATGTCAAAGGCGTCGGGGTCACCCTCAGGGACTAGCAGCATGGAACAGTGATGGGGAGCAGCCTCTGACCGGAAAGCAAGCTCGTACTGCCGGTCCTCCAAGACATCACTGCCGAGGGCAGGAGCACCCCTGACGGACGGAGGACAGACAGGGTCAGAGACCAGAGCGGTAGCGAAGTCAAGGCGGCGAGTAGAGGCAAAGTCAGCGACAGCAGCGATAAGAGCGTCAAGACTGGAGACAGGAACAGACGGGTCGGTAACGAGGGAGGCAAGGACCCGAGGAACAAGAGGACGAGCAGCACGAAGGTAGTCAGACAGAGGGGGAGGCACATTTATGAGCAACGGCGGAGGAGGCGAAGGCAGGAGGGGAGGACGAGACGCGTGGGAACGAAGCAACATAGGGTGAGAACGTTGAACAGGAGAGAGAGGACGAGCACCAGAGGGACGGCGAGACCAGACGTGAGACGGGGGCGTCGGGCCAGGAGACAGAGGAGGAGTAACAGGAGGGGAACGAGAGGGGAAACGAGCCGGGGACAAGTCCGGCGGAGGAAACACAGGACCATGAACATGATGAGGGGGAGACGGCGAGGGAGGCGCAGGCGAGCAGTCACGGGAGGGAAGGCCGAGTAGGCGAAGGGCGGACACCGGTGGCGACTGCTGCTGCTTCTGCTCAACGTCGACACCTGGACCACCAGCTGCACCACCGCTATGTCCGGTGCCTCCATGCCAGCACCCCCACATTAAGAAACGTCTCCAGCGCCGGTGCCACCCCCGAGCCCGCCGGGACAAGCCACGACAGGAGCCCCAGGACTAGCACCCTCTCCAACTCCAGCACCCCCAGAGTCCACGAACGGCTGCGGCTGCGGCGGCGGTAATGATGGCGACTGCGGCGGCGACTGCGACGAGGGAGGAGGAGACACCAGGGGAGGGGCAGGGGGCACAAACTGCACCGCGGGGCCACCGGAGTGAGCTTACTCCTCGACCGGGACAATCGAACGGCGAACGGCCACAGAAAATGGGAGCAAGGTGCACCCTATTTTCAGCCGGGAGCGAGGCTTAGAGGTTAAGCTGGTGAGCGGCGTAGTGAACGGCAGACGGCCACAGAAAATGGGGTGCACCGGCATGGATCATGGAGGTACGAGCCACCTCCATGACCAAACCGATGCATCGCTCAGCAACCCCATTCTGCTGCGGGGAGTCCGGTAGGGTGTATGTCTGGGTGATACCCTCCTCACGATAGAACTGACCTAGCCGACCAGAGGCAAACTCGCCGCCACGGTCAGAGTGGAGACACAGCATATGGAGACCGCGGTGGAGACGCGCAGTGATGAGCCACGGGATAAGAACGTCAGGCATGTCGGCCTTCCGCTCCAAGGGAAACACCGTGGTGTAGCGCATGAAGTCGTCAACGAGCACCAGAAAGTAGCACTCGCGACGCGGTCCAGGGACAGGGGCTGGGCCCCAGACGTCCAAGTGCAGGGTCTGAACGGATGCAGTGGCAGGGCAAAGCGAGGAGGAGTGAGGAGCACTGCGCAGCCAGCCCTCGACACAGGGCGTGCATGGCGGCACAGGCGAGGGAGGGAGAGCAGGTAGCGACGAAGGGAGGCCGAGGACTAGACCGTGCTGAGACGTGATTCAGGGGGGGGAGCGCGGGGTGACCTAGGCAGGGGTGCCACAACAATGACTGGTGGGTGAGCTACCTGGGTGGACGCAGGACCGGAGGAGGACTTGCCCTCCGGGGGGGGAGCAGTGTCCAGCGTAAACTGGCCAGACACAGGTTCCCGGGGGAACGTCGCAAGGGGGGCACCTGAGGCGGCCTCGAACCAGACCGCGTACTGGTCGCGACCAGGGAACGTAGTGGTGATGCTGAGGTCCTGAAGACAGCTGACTCCAACTAAGTTCTTGGAGAATGAAGGGATGTGCAGGCCTGTAAGGGAACAAGAGGGAACCGCCAAATAGGGAAGGGTAGTGTAGCTGCGAGCAACTACAGGACCAGAGCAGGGGTCCGCAAAGGCGACAACAGCAGGTGCAGCAAGCGACGTGAGGGCGGTGTGGTCGCGGAAGAAACAGGCAGATGCACCGGAGTCTAGAGTGAAGGACAGCGACGCCGTAGTGGCCGACGACGGAGGAGCAAGGGTAGAGCTTAGGCTAGACAAAGCAAGCTGTCCTACGCCTGTCGCAGCAGGAGAGTCTACACTACACACAGGTGCTACGCCTAAGCTAGAGAACATAGAGCAATACGATATGGAAACACTCGAAGCGTCAGCATACAGAGAATGCAATGCAGAACTAATCTGATCCATGTCTAAGTCAAACACAGGCACATCGTGGCGCAGCAGGCTGGGCCAGTCAGGGAGGTCCGGGGCGGGACCAAAGCGGCGACGGAAAAGGTCGTCGAGGCGGCGGAAGCAGCGGGCGGTGGGGTGCGAGCGACGGCACACCGTGCCACGCAGAGGCTTGGTCTGAAGCTGGTACTGGCAGCTCACAGCACCGAAGCTGCCGGTGGACGCCGAGCTGCGAGGGCCATCGCCACGACCACCACCGCCAGGGGCTCCTGGCCACCCGGGCGGGAGACGAGCCCACGGATGCTGCCGCTGCTGCTGCTGCTGGGACGGCTGCTGCTGCGGCGACGGCTGCGACTACGATTGCGGCGAATGCTGCTGCTCCTAGGCACCAGCACCAACCCTCTTGTCAGAACCACTGTCCCCGCCACCACCACCACTAGCGCCACCTCCACGTCCTCCCTTGGGGCCACGGCGGTCCCTGCGCTGGCGCTGCTGCGGGTAAGCCGCAGCTGCTATCTCGGGTGCAGGCGTAGTCGTGGCAACTGCGGCGGAGACGTCAACGTACGTGCACTGGGAGGGGGCACAGCCTTAAAAGATAGGGACTACCGCAACACCGCTCGACTGAGCGATAGTGTGCTGGCGAGTCTCTATCTCACACAGAGTAGTAATAAAGGCGGTCAGGGTGAGGTCGGCAGGGTGCTGACTAAGGAAGTGGTCGTGGGCAGTAGCTAGTCGGTCAGGCAGGCGCATGGCGATGAGGTACAGGGTAGCGCAGAAAGGTGGGGGGAAGGCAGTAAGCTGGGCGGCAGAGCTAGTAGCGCGGTAGCTGGTCTCTAGTGCACGGAGGTGAGTAGCGAGGTCAGCTACCGTGGGGAAAGCAGAAAGTTCAGGGAAGAGCATGGGTAGGATCAAGCAGCCAGCAGAGGCGGAAGCAGGCCTGGAGTAACGCTCAACTACTGCAGCGAGAAACTCCTTGGCGTTCGCGACAACGGTAAAGCGCGGACCCTCAGACAGGGGGAAGGCATGGCTAATGGCAAGGTAGGCTACTGCGTCGCGAGAATCCGAGACAGCTCGAGCAAGCGCAGCAGCAGCAAAAGCCTCGCTCTTAGCAGTGGTAGGGTCAGCAGGGAGGGGATCAGGCGCAGGGGGGCAGGGAAGTAAACCATTAACATGCATAGCCAGGGAGTGCCCATCCTGGCGCTGACCTGTCAGGCGCCAGCGGAGGTCGAAGAGTCAAGCTGCGAAGTCAATCGCGTGCCCCCCAGCGTCCAAGCGAAGAACGGCGTCGGCCATTGCAAATTGTGATAGCGGCACAACGGCTCAGCGGCGCAGCGACTCGGCGGCTCGGCGGCTTGGCCGCTCGGCGCCTCGGGGACATGGCGGTACGGCGGCTCGGCGGCACGGCGGCTCGACGGCGCGGCGGCGCGGGTGCTCGGCGGCTCGCGGACACGGCGGCTCAGCGGCTCAGGCGACGAGGCTGGCTAGGGCGCAAGGGGCCGGAAGGGGCGCGACGGGGCCAGCTAGGGGCGCGAGGGGCCGTAGTGGCGCGTGGGGCCGGTAGGGTCGCGACGGGGACGGCTAGGGGCGCGACAGGGCTTTAGGAGTGCGACGGGGCCGATAGGGCGCGACGAGGCCGGTTAGGGGCGCGAGGGGCCGGTAGGGGCGCAACGAGGCCAGCTTGTGGCGCGTGGGGCCGGCTAGGGGCGCAAGGGGCCGATAGGGGTGCGACGGGACCGGTTAGGGGCGCGACAGGGCCGTAGGAGCGCGACGGGCCCGGTAGGGGCGTGACGGGGCCAGCTAGTTACGCGACGGGGCCAGCTAGTTACGCGACGGGGCCGTAGGGGCGCGACGGGGCCGTAGGGGCGCAATGGGGCTAGCTAGGGGCGCGACGGGGCCGGCTAGGGGCGCGAGGGGCCGTAGGGGCGTGACGGGGCCTGCTAGGGGCGCGACGGGGCCGTAGGGGCGCGCGGGGCCAGCTAGGGGCGCGAGGGTCCGGTAGGTGGCGGCACAGGGCAGAAGCGAGTGGGTGGACCTACCTACTTGTGATACCACGTTAAAACTAGAATGAATGATTAGAGCAAAGGAGAACAGGGGAGATATAGCGTTTGGGTTGTACCCACTAAGAACATACCCTATCTAGCCTATAACTTCTACATAACAATATATGTATAAGTTGACAACGTGGCTATGCAGTGGCCGCCAATGGCAACCTTTTTTTCCCTCCCTGATTCGAGTGTTGTTGAACTGTACTTCCAACCAAACGCCTTGTGATTCTACTGGGGGAAGCTGACTCTGCCAAGCTGGGAGGGTAAATGACTAATACCGTGAGTGACATACCATTGGAGAAACGGTGAATGCTGATGATTGGTATGTCATCGTCATTCACAAATTAGCGTTGGGGCAAATACAGGTAGCATTGTTGAGTCAATCTACTACCAGTGGCGAGATGAGTCCTTGTAGCGTATGCCCTTCATTGCCAGACGGGGCATCCAGAAAATGTATCGCGAAGGCCAAAACGCGCACCAGTACAGGCATGCAGCCATGGCGTCGACTCATAGGATCTCCTGTTCGTTCTACCCGCCATTTCTCCTTGTTGCAGCCCTCCTACTCGCTCTTCTCTTCCATTCCTCCCGCGCCGTAACTACCATTGAGGCAACCAGCGACAATGACGGCGAATGCGGATGGGCAGAGACGAAGTCAGGAGCCACGAGCGCTGTAATATACGGACCCGACGCCGCAGACACACCGATACTCTCAGCCCCAGGCGCATTTCCCGCTGGTGATCGGAATCTTAGAGAAGAGGAAGCGCGCGCGGTAGTAGCCGCGGAGGAGCGCGCGCGGCTGGCGGAGCGGCGCGCGAAGGAGCTCGACGCGGAGCTCCGCGCGGCGCTGGGGAACGTGGCGCGACTGGAAGACGCAGTCACACAGATGGGTTGGTGGGATGGGGGAGAGTAGGGGGCAGGGGGAGAGGAGGGGGAAAGGAGGGGGAGAGGAGGGGGAAAGGAGGGGGAGAGGAGGGGGAGGGGAGGGGGAGAAGAAAGTGCTGGGGAAGCGGCGTGATTTGGGGCCGGGGGAGAGCTGAAGCTTGCAGGGAAAGACTGGTTTTGGTTAGTGCGTGAAACTATGGGGATCCTGATGTTCTAAAAGTTTGCAAGACGGCGTGTGGCGTCCACAGCGTGCTCAATGTGCATACCGCCTCCTTTACCACCTCCTTTGCTGCTTCCTTACCTCCTCTCTTCCCTTCGCCCCCTCCCATATCCCAGAGGAGCACCTGGCAATGGCGGAAAAGCGGTGTGGGGAGAAGAGGGCAGAGGCGGGGAGGCAGTTGAAGGCGTGCATTGGGGAGAGGGAGAGAGCCAAGGTGCAGCTGCACGAGTGTGGTGAGTGGGTTGTTTGCATATCCAGAACCATTTTCATTCAGAGCAATGCAGCAGCCCAGTCCAGTCCTGGGCACGGCCCTCCTTCTCCTCCTCCTCTGCCCAATTCCCGTCTCCATGATCCCTTGCTCATCCTCTCACACCCTTTATGTCCTCCTCCCATCTACTCCCTCTTCTGCGTTCCCTCCCTTTCCTCCTACCCTTCCCTTCCCTCTCCTCCTCTCTCCGACTCTCACTCTTTCTCTCCCTCTCCCGCTTTCCCCACCCCCCTCCATCCCCGTGAGAAGCTTTCCTGGCAGCGAGAGAGGAGCAGGGCTGAGGGAGGGAGGTCAGCTGCAGCAACAGAGAGGGAGCTAAGCTTGCCAATCCCGCACAGTGCCTCGGCATATTGGCCACAAAGGACATTGTCAGTGTGGTGGCTGTGAGCCACCAGTCACTCCTCCTGCCTGTCATTGTGCCGTGCCGGGGCACTGAATCATGGACCGTGTGTCAGAAAGTAGAACTAGGCTAGGAGGTAGTGAAGGCCGCCATGAAAGTGGCGGCGGGGTTTAGCTAGGAGGTAGGCGAGAGTGTCGAGAGAAGAAGTGTTGGACTAGGAAGAGAGAGGCATACAAGGAGGGGTTTGTACCCTCTACAGAAAGGTTCAGTAACAACCTACCAAGCCTATATAAATTATAACTTCTCATGCGTTTCAATACACTCGAACAGTGTCAACTTATACATATGATCTATGTAGAAGTTATAGGCTAGACTAGGTGTGTGTTTCTAGTGAGTACAACCCAACAGGTATATGTTCTAGGTTTCTCCTTCTAGTAAAGCATTCACATAATCTAACATGGTATCGAGTAGGTTAGGTCCCCCCGCCCGCTTCCGCCCACGCCCTAGTCTCTCGTCCGCCCCTAGCCGGCCCCCTGGCCATCGCGTCCGTCACTACCTGGCCCCTTGGCCATCGCGTCCGCCCCTAGTCGGCCCCCTGGCCGTAGCGTTCGCCCCTAGCTGGCCCCCTGGCCGTCGCGTTCGCCCCTAGTCGGCCCCCTGGCCGTCGTGTTCGCCCCTAGTCGGCCCCTGGCCGTCGCGTCCGCCCCTAGCCGGCCCCCTGGCCGTCGCGTCCGCCCCTAGCTGGCCCCTTGGCCGTCGCGTCCGCCCCTAGTCGGCCCCCTAGCCGTCGCGTCAGCCCTCAGCTGGCCCCCTGGCCGTCGCGTCCGCCCCTAGTCGGCCCCCTGGCCGTCGCGTTCGCCCCTAGCTGGCCCCCTGGCCGTCGCGTTCGCCCCTAGCTGGCCCCCTGGCCGTCGCGTTCGCCACTAGTCGGCCCCCTGGCCGTCGTGTTCGCCCCTAGTTGGCCCCTTGCCGTCGCGTCCGCCCCTAGCCGGCCCCCTGGCCGTCGCGTCCGCCCCTAGCTGGCCCCTTGGCCGTCGCGTCCGCCCCTAGTCAGCCCCTGGGCCGTCGTGTCAGCCCTCAGCTGGCCCCCTGGCCATCGCGTCCGCCCCTAGTCGGCCCCCTGGCCGTCGCGTTCGCCCCTAGCTGGCCCCTTGGCCGTCGCGTTCGCCCCTAGTCGGCCCCCTGGCCGTCGCGTTCGCCCCAAGTCAGCCCCCCTGGCCGTCGCGTCCGCCCCTAGCCGGCCCCTTGGCCGTCGCGTCCGCCCCTAGCTGGCCCCCTTGCCGTCGCGTCCGCCCCTAGCTGGCCCCTTGGCCGTCGCGTCCGCCCCTAGTCGGCCCCCTGGTCGTCGCGTCCGCCCTTAGCTGGCCCCCTGGCCGTCGCGTCCGCCCCTAGCTGGCCCCCTGGCCGTCGCGTCCGCCCTCAGCTGCCCCCCTAGCCGTCGCGTCCGCCCCTTGTCGGCCCCCTGGCCGTCGCGCCCGCCCCTAGCTGGCCCTCTGGCCGTCACGACCGCCCCTAGCCGGCCCCTTGGCCGTCGCGTCCGCCCCTCGCTGGCCCCTTGGCCGTCGCGTCCGCCCCTAGCCGGCCCCCTGGCTGTCACGTCCGCCCCCAGCCGGGCCCCTGGCCGTTCGCGCCCGCTCCTAGCCGCCCCCCTGGCCGTTCACGCCCGCCCCTAGCTGGCCCCACTGGCCGTCGCGCCCGCTCCTAGCTGCCCCCCCCCCTGGCCCCACGCGCCCGCTCCTGGCCGGCCCACTGACCGTCGAGCCCGCTCCTAGCCGTCCCCAGCAGCGCCCGCCCGGCCCCTCCTTGAGCCCGCCCGGCCCACAGTCGCGCCTGCCCGGCCGCCCTGCGCGTGCTAGGCCCCTCCTAGCGCCTACCCAGTCCCAGTGCGCCTGCCCGGCCCCTCCTCCTGCCAGCCCAGCCCCTCCTCATGCTTGCTCAGCCTGCCGTGCCACCTCGGGCCCCTTGTCCTCTGCTAGCCCGCGCTGGGGCGCCCCGCAGCCGCCCTACTGGAGAGTGCTGCCGCCGTGTCCCTGTGCCGCTGTGCTCCTGCCGAGCAGAGGAGCTGTACTGATGTGTCGCTTAGGAGCTGTGTCGCTGACCCTGCACGATGGCTGACTTCGTGCTCCGCCTGGACGCTGAGGGCCACGCGGTTGACTTCGTCGCCTGGCTCTCCGATCTCCGCCGTCAGCTTACAGGTCAGCGCCAGGATGGACACTCGCTAGTTGTCCATGCTGATGGCTTGCTCCCCCGCCCCCCTGCACCTGCTCCCCTTACTGCTGACCCCACCTCCGCTGAGAGTGAGGCTTTCTCTACTGCTGCGCTTGCCTGTGCGGTCTGGGACTCAAGCGATGCAGTAGCTCAGGTTGCTATCAGTCACGCCCTCCCTGTGTCTGAGCGCTCGCGTTTCGCTACAGTTGATACGGCCAAAGCTTATTTAGACGCTGTTATTGCTTGCTATTCCACACCTGCATCCACTTCTGCCGGCCGCCTGCTCTTCCCGATGATGTTCCCAGACCTTGCTGCCTTCCCTACTATCGCACTGCCAGCACTGCTGCCCAACTGACTGCGCTCCCCCCCCCCATTCTGCATGACCCTCTATTTTATCGCCATGTGCCTGCCAAACCGCCTACCTAGTGCCCGCGACCACTTCCTTAGCCAGCACCCGGGTGACCTCACACTGACCGCCTTTGTCGACACCCTCACCGAGATCGAGACGCTCCAGCGCACTATCGCTCAGTCGAGCGGTGCGCCGGCAGTCTCTATCTTTCACGGCTGTGCCCCCTCCCAGTTTACGTTTACTGACGTTTCGGCTGCAGTCACCACTGCGACCCCTCTTACCGAGACGGCTGCTGCGGTCCAGGGAGGTCATGGCCGTGGCCGTGGGCGTGGCGATGGCCGTGGCCGCCAGGGAGGTCGTGGTAGTAGCACTAGTGGTGGTGGTGGAGGTGGTGGTGACGGTAGTCCACCTGAGGGGACTACCACCGGTGGGCAGGAGCATACGCACTCGCCTTCGCAGCCGGAGCAGCCCTAGCAGCAGCCGCCGCCGTCCCAGCAGCAGCCGTCGCAGCCGTGGGCTCGTCTCCCACCTGGTTGGCCCTGCATTTCCGGCAGTGGTTGCCGAGGTGGTGGGCCGCGCAGCTTGACGTCTACCGGCAGCTCCAGTGCTGTGACCTGCCAGTACCAGCTTCAGACCGGGCCTCTCCGCGGCACACTGTGCTGTCGCCCGCACCCCACCGCCCGCTGTTTCTGCCGCCTCGACGATCTCTTTCGTCGTCGCTTTGGCCCGGCCCCGGACCTCCCCGACTGGCACAGCCTGCTTCGCCAGGGCGTGCCGATCTTTGAGTTACACTGAGGGAAAAAACCGTCCGGATGTTTGGCAATAAGTTGGGTTTTTAGGCTTTGAGACTACTGTATGGTAAACCTGCAAGATGCACGGTGGTACATGTTGGGAGAGGCACAAAGTGGATGCGTTCACAGCACTAAGAACTAGAATAGTACATTGGATCTAACTCATACTCCAAAAGATATACAACGAGTACATCCGGACAGTTTTTTCCCAGGACAAAGAGCAAACTTCCGAACAACGTTTCTAGTACCTAGTCCACCTACTCTTGGCGTTGATCACCATCCACACCCTCCTAGGCATGTTATCTATGTGGTTAGTGCAGACCTTTGCATGAAGCTTCTTGCACTCTTCCTTGACCCACCATTTTGCATAAGGGGGTGAGCACAAGGAAAATTGCGAAGTATTTGAGCGTATGCATAAGTATTGTGCACGAATTGAGATTGAATGTAATCTCTGAGACTAGCCAAGCCGAGGGGTGTCCAAAGATGCCATTACTTGAATGGTCCCGGCTTATCATGGGTTGTTTTCGTCGAATCAGAGTAGGGTGAAATCACGTATAGAGTGGCAAAATCTAGCATACCCGCCACGAAACTTAGGGTAACCGAGCACGGTCGATTGAGCATCCTTTCATTGTTAGAATCATGTTAAAATCCGCGAGTCTAGTGACAGTGCATCAGTTGAAGAAGTCTCGACTGTTTGGGAAGAATATCAGGGTTGAGGTCTGGTGAGGAAGAGGGGCACTCCAGAGCTACATATCCATGCTCTCCGAGCCATTCCAAGCCTAGGCAGGGAAAATGACATGGAATGCCTTGGAGAGCATAAGTATGTTGCGCTGGAGTGACCCTTTTTCTCACCAGACCTCAATCCAGATATTCTTCCCAAACAGTCGAGGTTTCTTCGACTGCTGCCCCGTCACTAGACCCGCGGATTTTAACATGGTTCACACAGTGAAAGGATGTTCAGTCGACCGTGCTCTGTTACCCTAAGATTCGTGGCGGGAATGCTAGATTTTGCCACTCTATTCGTGATTTTACCCTAGAACGATACGACGAAGACGACCCATGATAAGCCGGGACCATTTAACTAATGGCATCTTTGGCCACCCCTCGGCTTGGCTAGTCTCTGAGATAACATTCATTCAGAATTTGTGTACAATACTTATGCATACGCTCAAATACTTTGCAATTTTCCTTGTGCTCACCCCCTTATGCAAAATGGTGGGTCCAGGAAGAGTGCGAGAAGCTTCATGCAAAGGTCTGCACTAACCCCATAGATAACATGCCTAGGAGGGTGCGGATGGTGATCAACGCCAAGAGTAGGTGGACTAGGTACTAGAAACGTTGTTCGGAAGTTTGCTCTTTGTCCTGGGAAAAAACTGTCCGGATGTACTCGTTGTATATCTTTTGGAATATGAGTTGGATCCAATGTACTATTCTAGTTCTTAGTGCTGTGAACGCATCCACTTTGTGCCTCTCCCAACGCGTACCACCATGCATCTTGCAGGTTTACCATACAGTAGTCTTAAAGCCTAAAAACCCAACTTCGTGCCAAACATCCGGACGGTTTTTTCCCTCAGTGTAGATATGGATAAGATAGGTGCTGCTTTGCATGCTTTGTATGCTGATGCTTCTAGTGTTGCTGGATCTTATTACCTTGTGTACTCTAGCTTAGGTGTCTCACCCTTGTGTAGCTTAGCCTCCCCTGCTGTGTCAGGCGTAGGACTGCCTCGTTTGCCTAGCCTAGGTTTTTCACCGGCTCCGTTCCCAGCCTCCGCCACTGCCTCGCTGTCCTTCACTCTCGATTCCGGTGCTTCTACCTGTTTCTTCCGCGACCGCTCCACGCTTACGCCGCTTGCTGCACCTGCTGTTGTCTCTCTCGATGACCCCTCTGCGGGTCCCGTCGTCGCTCGCAGTTCCACGTCCCTTCCCTGTCCAGCAGTTCCCTCGGGCTCTCTTACAGGCCTCCACGTTCCCTCGTTCTCGAGGAACCTGGTTGGTGTCGGCTGTCTTCAGGACCTCGGCGTCACCACTACGTTCCCCGGGCACGAGCGTTTCGCTGTCTGTTCTGAGGCTGTCTCGGTTCCCCACTTGCTACGTTCCCCCGGGACCCGGTGTCCGGACTGTTTACCCTTGACACCGCTTCCCCCCCGGTTGGTGCATCCTCCTAGGTCGCTGCAGCTTGCTCGTGTCGGTCTCTCACTCACCCGTCCCTTTTGTGGCACCACCGCCTAGGTCACCTTGCACTCCCGCATCTGCGTCACATGTCCCAGCACAATCTTGTCTTAGGCCTCCCCGCGTCGCTCCCCGCCCTTCCCCCCTCGCCTGCTCCACCATGCACACCCTGCGTCGAGGGCCGGCTCCGCCGTGCCCCTCACTCCTCCTCGCTTCGCCCTGCCAATGCTCCCCTTCAGACCCTGCACCTGGACATTTGGGGCCCAGCCCCCCTCCCCGGACCGCGTGGCGAGCGCTACTTTCTTGTGCTCGTCGATGACAACACGCGCTACACCACGGTGTTTCCCCTGGAGCGGAAGGCCGACGTGCCCGACGTTCTTCTCCCGTGGGTTGTGGTTGCGCGTCTTCACCGCGGTCTCCCCGTGTTATGTCTCCACTCTGACCGTGGCGGCAAGTTCGCCTCTGGTCGGCTTGGACAGTTCTGTCGTGCGGAGGGCATCACCCAGTCGTACACCTTGCCGGACTCGCCACAGAAGAATGGGGTTGCTGAGCGCCGCATCGGCTTGGTCATGGAGGTGGCTCGTACCTCCATGATCCATGCCGGTGCACCCCATTTTCTGTGGCCGTTCGCTGTTGGCTACGCCGCTCACCAGCTTAACCTGTGGCCACGCTCCCAACGACCGCAGGTTTCGCCGACCCTCCTTTGGACTGGGTCCCCCGGTGAGGGTCCCCCGGTGACGCGTCTGCGTTCCACGTCAAGGGCTGCCTTGCTCACGATCGTGCCTCTGGTACGGACAAGCTCATTGCCCGCACTGTCCCCTGTGTCTTCCTTGGTTTCCCCCTAGACTCGTCTGACTGGCTCTTCTACCACCCGCAGTCTCACCACTTCCTCCAGTCTCGTGACGTCACCTTTGACGAGTCCGTCTCCTTCTACCGTCGCTTCCCTTACTGAGGTCTCCTGGTTCCCCCCCCCCTGTTCCTTGCCCCCTCTCCCCCGGTAGCCCCTCCTCCCCTCCCGCCGCGTCCTGCCACGTCTGGTGTCTCCCATGTCACTCCCCTCCCGTCGGTTGTCCCCGTTGAGGAGTCTGCTGACTCTGGTGGTTCCCCCGCCCCGCCCTTGCCGCGTCCCCCTTCCCTGGTGTCTCCGCCCCCGCTGTCGCAGTCGCCGCCGTCGTCGCCATCGCCGCCGTTGTCGCCGCCGTCATAGCCGCCGTCGCAGCCGCCGCCGCCGCCGCTGCCACTCTTGGCCTCTGGGGGTGCTGGCGCTGAGGAGGGTGTTCGTCTTGCGCCTCCTCGCGTGGTCTGTCCCGGCGGGCCTGGGGGTGCCGCTGGGGCTGAGGAGGGTTCTCGCTCTAGGGGTGTTGGTTCTGGGGGTGCTGCTGTTGAGTGTTCTCCCGGAGGTCATCGTGCCCCTGCAGGTTCGAGGGTCGAGCACCAGCCGCCGCCGCAGCCGCCGCAGTCGTAGCCGCCGGCATCCGCTCTTCGACTGCTCGGCCTTTCCTCCCCTGACCGTTTGCCGGAGTCTCCCCCACCTCCTCTTGACCTTCCTGTCTACGGCCCTGTGTTCCCGCCCCCGGACTCTTCTCCGGCCCGTCTTCCTCCTCGTTCCCCTCTTGTGTCACCTCCGCTGTCTCCTGACCCTACACCTCCGTCCCACATTTGGTCTCGCCATCCCTCCCGTGCTCGTCTTGTCTCCGCTGTCCTGCGCTCCCATCCTGTGTTACTCCGTTCTCACTCGTCTCGTCCTCCCCTCCTCCCCTCGCCTCCTCCCTTGTCGCTCGTTGTTCCAACTCCCCCGCTGTCAGACTACCTCCGTGCCGCTAGTCCCCTTGTCCCTCGGGTCCTTGCCTCACTTGTTACAGACCCGTCTGTTCCTGTCTCCTGCCTTGACACGCTTGTTGCTGATGTCGCTGACTTCGCCTCTACCCGCCTCCTTGACTACGCTACCGCTCTGGTCTCTGACCCTGCCCGTCCTCCGTTCGTCGGGGGTGCACCTGCCCTTGGCAGTGAGGTACTAGAGGACAGGCAGTACGAGCTTGCTTTCCTTTCCGAGGCCGCTCCCCATCTCTGCTCCATGCTCCTAGTCCCAGAGGGTGACCCAGACGCCTTTGACATCCTGACCCCTCACACCTACGCTGAGGCCACCTCGGGACCCTGGGCCTCTCAGTGGATAGCTGCCATGGAGCAGGAGATGGCATCTTAGAGGTCCACCGGCACTTACGTCGACGCAGTTCCCCTACCTGAGGTGAACGTAGTCGATGGTCGGTGGCTCTTCAAGATGAAGCGCCCTCCTGGAGAGCCGCCTGTCTTCAAGGCACGCTACGTGGCCAGAGGCTTCAGCCAGTGCGAGGGGGTTGACTTCTTCAAGACCTTCGCCCTGACCCCGAAGATGACTACTCTTCGGGCACTGCTACACGTAGCAGCACTGCGCGATTATGAGCTTCACTCCCTCGACTTCTCTATTGCCTTTCTTCAAGGCAGCCTACACTATCAGGTCTACCTGCGTCGACCTCAGGGCTTCACTGGTACCTTCCCCCCTGGGACCCAGTGGCTCCTCCGGCGCCCGGTCTACGGCCTGCGTTAAGCTCCCCGCGAATGGCACGACATTCTGCGTGCCACGTTAGCAGACTTGCAGTTCTTTCCATCCTCTGCTGACCCCTCGTTGTCTGTGCGTTCCGGCCAGACTCCGTTCTACATCCTTGTCTACGTAGACGACCTAGTCTTTGCTACTGCTGACAGGGACGCGCTGGCCTCTGTGAAGGCCGAGCTGCTGAAGAGACACACCTGCACTGACCTTGGAGAGCTGCGTCGCTATCTTGGCCTGCAGATCTCCAGGGACAGAGCAGCACGCACCATCACTCTGACACAGTCACACTTGGTGCGTCAGGTCCTTCAGAGGTTCGGTCTTCAGTTCTCCTCCGCACAGCCCACACCTCTACTTGTAGACCATGGGCTCTCTGCTCCAGTTCCTGAGGAGCCAGTAGAGCCCAGTGGTCCTTACGCACAGCTGGTGGGTTGCCTCATGTACCTGATGACTTGGACTCGCCCAGATCTTGCATACCCTCTCAGCATTTTGGCTCGCTTTGTGGCCACTGGCAGACACCGGCCACAGCACTGGTCGCCGCTAAGAGCGTTTTGCAATATCTAGCAAGTACATCGGGCATGGGGTTAGTGCTAGGAGGACGCGGGCCGGTGGTCCTCACTGGGCATACAGACGCTTCTTGGGCAGACGACTCTGAGACTCTCAGGTCGTCTCAGGGCTACTGCTTTAGCCTTGGTTCGGGTGCTATCTCTTGGAGATCCACTCGCTCATCGTCTGTTGCTCAGTCCAGCTGTGAGGCTGAGATCTACGCTAGTGCCATGGCGGCACAGGAGCTCCGCTGGTAGACCTTCTTGCTGACTGACTTAGGTGAGCGGCCTAGCTTTGCCCCGGTCCTGTACGCTTACAACAGGGCCATGATCCTCCTGTGTCAGGAGCCTCGGCTTGAGGGCAGAGCGAAGCATATCCAGCTGCGGTACTTCCTCCTGCGCGAGCTATAGCAGCGTCTCGAGGCCCGTGTAGTTCACTTGGCCTCCGGTGGCAATACAGCTGACATCTTTACTAAATCGCTCGCGCCTAAAGATCATCAGCGGCACTGTGTACAGCTTGGTCTTGTTCCTGTAGCTTCTCATTTGCTAGGGCCATGATTGTGGACTCTCTACTATATATGCCTGTCTGACTGGCCTTGTGGCCTTATTGTCAAACATGTCTATTTGTTATGTCTGTATAGACTGTATAGGGTAGCCTCTTAGAGGGTACAACACTTAGCTATATTGTGTGTACTCTCCCTCTATCACTATCATTCAATTTTCTGATACTTATCTCCTGTGGCGCCCTGACTTGCTTTTCTCTTGTTTGTACTCTTGCTGACTGGTCTCTGGACCCCTGCCTCAGTGGTTGGACTAGTAGTGCCACCCTGAGCTGTGTGCTTCTTGCTTAGCACCACCCTTTATCTACCCTAGGGGGTGTGTCAACTTATACATATGATCTATGTAATAGTTAGAGGCTAGACTAGGTGTGTGTTTCTAGTGAATACAACCCAACAGGTATATGTTCTAGGTTTCTCCTTCTAGTAAAGCATTCACGTAATCTAACAAACAGGGCCTCCAGCTTTGAGCTCTGCCCTTGGGAGAGATGGCAGTTTGCAAGGCTACTGATATCAATGAGTTCATGCTGGCAAGAGCAGTGTCCAGTGACGGTCCCGACCCGACTGAATCCTGACGAACCAAGGCATGGCATGGGTGGTTGAGGGGGTGCGCATGGAGTGGAGGTGCTAGAAGCGGTTGCTGGAGTTGGAGAGGCGCACGGTGCCCGCTGCCATGCCGCCCTTTCTCTTGCGGTGGTACACAACGGGCCCGCACACCGCCAGTATCGCCAGCATGATACCCTGCACACACGTGCTCAAAAGAGGGTCGGCGTTGAAAAGATAGCAGCGAGCGAAACACGCATGCTTGTATTGGTATCAGAAATGAGGGCGGAGAGACAGCCAATTCCCTCACTTCCCTCATTACCGGACTTGCTGGAGGCAAGTCAGGAAGCAGCAGCGGATTTGAAAGGAAGTGAAGGAATGGATTGCCAGCAAGGAAAGCTCACCTCGAACCCCAGCACCGACAGTGTCTCCACCTCTGGCTTGCACGACTCGTACGTCAAAAAGCGCCTCATTCTCTCACCCCCCAACCCATCCCTGCTGCCACTACCACTGCCACCGCTGCCACCGTTGCTGCTGCTGCTGCTGCTGCCTCCTCTGGCCCCTTCCTCCTCCGCACTGGCTTCCATGCTGCTCACCCGCCCTGCCACCTGCACTGTCCTCACCTCCCCCAGTAACCGCCTCAGCAGCATCGTCCCCTCTTCTTGACCCCATCCTTGCACAACCTCAACTTCTGCTCTCCCCTCAACACTTCCCGAGCCCTCCCGGTATCCAACTGCTTCCAGTTGCTGCACCGCATGGCTTCTGCCGTCCAGCCTCCTCCTAGCACCGCTCTCAGATGGATCAGCCACCCCCTTTCCCCCCCGCAACTCGTTCCTACCAGCATCCTCTCCCCCAAGCCCCTCACTAATAACCACGCCATCACCCCTTTCCTGGATTCTGCGCTTGCTGCTTCCACTGCGCCCCCTGCTTCCATTGGAATCGATCTCCTGCGCCTCCCTGCCTTCCCCTGCCCCGTCTCCTCCCCCTCCCTCCTGCAGCTCCCCCCCGTCCCCGCCAGCGCCATTTATCCCGCCCCTCCCCCCGCTCGACCCCCTCGCCCCCGCCTCTCCGAACGCCTGACGCGCCCCCCCCGCCACGTCCCCGCGTGTCTTGGCAGCGCCGCCAGCGCGGGCGCGCGCGGACGGGAGGGAGGAGACGGCACCACTGTAGCGCTCGATGCAGGAGATGGCCTGGCGGTACCCCGTGGGCTGGCACGCGGGGTCCTCCACCTGCGGGGGAGGGGGGAGAGGGGAGGGGAGGGGGAGAGGGGGAGAAGGCAGTGATGTAAGGGGAGTAACTCGTTCAAGGTTTAAAGCAGTAGCGATATGGACAGAGGTAAGTAGTCCGGAATGCCAAGCCATGACGGAGAAGCGGGAACTCGAAGAAAGAGCCGTGCTAAGGTGAAACCTGGGCTACACGGATACACGCGTTTTGAGGCGCGTCAGAGGCAACTAGAAGAAAGAGAAAGGCCTAGGTGGGCTGAGGTGAGACCTCGGCTACACGGATACACGCGGGTGCAAATGATGCCGGCCGAGCTAGGCTCGGCTCGGCTCGGCTAGCTTAGATAGGCAGCGCCGTGCTTCTGCTGACCTTCTGCTGCTCCGTGCATATGAGGCACGCGCCCGTGATGTTGCACTGAGTCCCTGTCGCCGACGGATCCATCGCTCGCCCTTCCACCGCCTCCCCTTCCCCTTCCCCCTCCCCGTCCCCTTTCCCGTCCCCCATCCGCGCGTCCTCCTCCGGCTCAGCGCCTTGCGACGAAGCCGCGGATGCCGCACCCACCCTGCATGGCAACGACAAGTGTTTACTCTTGCTCAAGAAACTAGTGATGGATATGCAGAGCAGAAATATGTTGATCCGAAACTGTCATTGCACTGCACTGACAGAAATAAGTTGATCCGAAACTGTCATTGCACTGCACTGCACTGCACTGTCAGAAATAAGTGGCAACGCAGGAACGCTCATTGCACTGCAGTGCACGCCTTGCAGTGCACGCCTTGCACTGCACGGTACAACCCCAGTGGAGTAACGAACAACGGGGGCAAGTGTGCACTAGTGGTTTCCCAAGTCCAAGCCACAGCGAAAGCAGGAGCGTACCGTCGGGCGGAAGCGTCGGGTCGACATAGCGACGGCACGATGAGGAGGCCGACGACAACGAGGAACAGCGCGATCCTACGGCCCATAGCAGCAGACGACGGCGACGACGCGACGAGGGCGACGAGGGCGATGGATCAAGGACGATGTGCGGTGGCTGGAACGCGAAAGGAGCTAGGACGATTCTGCTTGATAGCGAGGCTCATTATAAGGGGCCATTCACGGTAAGACTAGCCGCCGAACTCCAGTCGCTTGTTGTCACGTAGCACAGGTTCCGAAGCGGAGAGCGATACGACCAGGAGGTTCAATTGGGAATTTAGGAACCACAAGACGGATCCCCGGCAATAAGCAGTGAGCTAGATCGGCGGGAGGAGCAGTGGTGGCGGTGGTGGAAGCTCTAGAATCAAGGATTCTGATGGGCTCTGAAACCTACATTCACACCCACGAGAGGATGTTTGTCAACTTATACATATTAGCTATGTAGAAGTTATAGGCTAGACTGGGGTATGCTTCTAGTGAGTACAACCAACTAGTAATTGTTCTAGGTTTCTCCTTCTAGTTCTATTATTCAGTTCTTACTTTAACATGGTATCACGCGTAAGTTAGAATCCCCCACCTACCGCTTCCGCCCGTACCCTAGCTAGGCCCCGCCGCATCCCCCCTGGGCCTCGTCGCGCCTCCTAGCCCCGTCACGCTTCCTAGCCCCGTCGCGCCCCTCCTGGGCCCCGCCGCGCCTCCTAGCCCCATCGCGCCCCTCCTGGGCCCCGTCGTGCCTCCTAGGCCCCGTCGCGCCCGCTAGGCCCCGTCGCGCCCTGCCTGGCCCCGTCGCGCCCGCCTGACCCCATCGTGCCCCTCCTGGGCCCCGTCGCGCCTCCTAGCCCCGTCGCGCCCCTCCTAGGCCCCGTCGTGCCTCCTAGGCCCCGTCGCGCCCGCTAGGCTCTGTCGCGCCCTGCCTGGCCCCGTCGCGCCCGCCTGGCCCCGTCGTGCCCCTCATGGGCCCCGTAGCGCCTCCTAGCCCCGTCACGACTCCTAGCCTCGTCGCGCCCCTCCAGGGCCCCGTCGTGGCTCCTAACCCCGTCGCCCCTCCTGGGCCCCGCCGCGCCTCCTAGCCCCGTCGCGCCTCTCCTGGGCTCCGTCGTGCCTCCAAGGCCCGGCCGAGCCCACTCCGGCCCCGTCGCGCCCTGCCTCGCCTCGTCGCGCCCGCTAGGCCCCGTCGCGCCCTGCCTGGCCCCGTCGCGCCCGCCTGGCTCCGTCGCGGCCTGCCTGGCCCCGTCGCGCCTGCCTAGCCCCTCCGCGCCTGCCTGGACCTGCCGCGCCTGCTTGGCCCTGCCGCGCCTGCCTGGCCCCGCCGCGCCTGCCTGGCCCTGCCGCGCCTGCCTGGCCCCGTGGCGCCCGCCAGGCCCCGTCGCGGACTGCCTGGCCCCGTCGCGCCTGCCTGGCCCCTCCGCCCCTGCCTGCCCCTGCCCCGCCTGCCTGGCCCCGCCGCGCCTGCCTGGCCCCGCCGCGCCTCCCTGGCCCTGCCGCTCCTGCCTGGCCCCTCCGTGCCTACCTGGTCCCTCCGCGCCTGCCTGGCCCCGCCGCGCCTGCCTGGCCCCTCTGCACCTGCCTAGCCCGGCCGCGCATGCCTGGCACGGCCGAGCCCGCCGGGCCCTGCCACGCCTCCCTGGCCCCGCCGCGCCTGCCTGGCCCCGCCGCGTCTGCTTGGCCTCTCCCACTGCCGCCCGGCCCCTCTTCGTACCTGTTCGGCCTGCCGTGCCACCTCGAGCTCCGTCTACTCTGCTCGCCAGCGCCGGGGCGCCTCGCGGCCGCCGTGCTGGAGAGTGCTGCCGCCGTGTCCCTGTGTCGCTGTGTCCCTGCGGATCTGTGGAGCTATGCCGCTGACCCTGCACGATGGCTGACTTCGTGCTCCGACTGGATGCCGAGGGCCATGCGGTTGACTTCGTCGCCTGGCTCTCCGATCTCCGCCGCCACCTTACAGGTCAGCGCACAGATGGCCACTCTTTGGTTGTTCATGTCGATGGCTTGCTCCCCCGCCCCCCCGCACCTGCTCCCCTCCCTGCTGACCCCTCCTCTGATGACCGTGAGACCTTCTCTACTGCTGCGCTTGCCTGTGCGGTCTGGGACTCCCGTGATGCAGTCGCTCAGGTTGCTATTAGCCACGCCCTCCCTGTGTCTGAGCGCTCGCGTTTTACTACTGTTGAGACGGCGAAAGCCTACTTAGACGCCATTATTGCTCGCTATTCCACATTCGAGTCTGCTTCTGCTGGCCGCCTGCTCTTCCCGATGCTGTTCCCAGACCTTGCAGCCTTCCCTACTATCGCAGACTTTGCCACTCACCTGCGTGCCCTAGAGACCCGCTATCGCACTGCCAGCACTGCTGCCCAGCTCACTGCGCTCCCCCCCCCTCTTTGCATGACGCTCTATTTTATCGCCATGCGCCTGCCAGACCGCCTCGCTAGTGCTCGCGATCACTTCCTTAGCTAGCACCCGGGTGACCTCACCCTCACCGCCTTTGTCGACACCCTCACCGAGATCGAGACTCGCCAGCGCACTATCGCTCAGTCGAGCGGTGCGCCGGCAGTCTCTATCTTTCACAAATGTGCCCACTCACAGTGCACGTTCACTGACGTTTCGGCTGCGGTCGCCATGGCGACCCCTCTCACCGAGACAGCTGCTGCGGTCCACCCGCAGCAGCACTCGCGCAGCGGTGGCCGTGGCCGCCAGGGAGGTAGGGGTGGTGGCGCAGATGGTGGTGGTCGTGGTGCTGGTGACGATAGTCCGCCTGAGTGGACTACCACCGGTGGGCAGGAGCAGCAGCCCCAGCCGCAGCAGGAGCAGCCCTAGCAGCAGCCGCCGTCCCAGCAGCAGTCGCCGCAGCCGTGGGCCCGACTCCCGCCTGGTTGGCCACCGCCGCCACCGCCTAGGCACCTTGCTCTCCCACGTCTGCGTCACATGTCCCAGCACAGTCTTGTCTCAGGTCTCCCTGCGTCACTCCCTGCCCTTCCTCCCTCGACTGCGCCACCGTGCACGCCTTGCGTCGAGGGTCGGCTCCGCCGTGCTCCTCACTCCTCCTCGCTGCGCCCTGCTACTGCCCCCCTTCAGACCCTGCACCTGGACGTTTGGGGCCCTGCCCCCGTCCCCGGACCGCGAGGTGAGTGCTACTTCCTTGTGCTCGTCGACGACTACACGCGCTACACCACGGTGTTTCCCCTGGAGCGGAAGGCCGACGTGCCCAACGTTCTTCTCCCGTGGGTTGTGGCTGCGCGTCTTCACCGCGGTCTCCCCGTGTTGTGTCTCCACTCTGACCGTGGCGGCGAGTTCGCCTCTGGTCGGCTTGGACAGTTCTGTCGTGCGGAGGGCAAAACCCAGTCGTACACCTTGCCGGACTCGCCACAGAAGAATGGGGTTGCTGAGCGCCGCATCGGCTTGGTCATGGAGGTCGCCCGTACCTCCATGATTCATGCCGATGTCCCCCATTTTCTGTGGCCGTTCGCTGTTCGCTACGCTGCTCACCAGCTTAACTTGTGGCCAGGCTCCCAGCGGCCGCAGGTTTCGCCGACCCTCCTTTGGACTGGGTCCCCGGGTGACGCGTCTGCGTTCCACGTCTTGGGCTGCCTTGCTCACGTTCGTGCCTCTGGCACGGACAAGCTCACTGCCCGCACTGTCCCCTGTGTCTTCCTTAGTTTCCCCCTGGACTCGTCTGACAGGCTTTTCTACCACCCACCGTCTCACCGCTTCCTCCACTCTCATGACATCACCTTTGACGAGTCTGTCTCCTTCTACCGCCGCTTCCCTCACCGCGGTGTCCCGGTTGCCCCGCCCCTGTTCCTTGCTCCCTCTCCCCCGGTAGCCCCTGCTCCTCTCCCGCCCTGCCCTGCCCCGTCTGGTGTCGCTCACATCACTCCCCTTCCGTTGGTTGTCCCTGTTGAGGAGTCCGCTGACTCTGGTGGAACCCCTGGCCCGTCCTTGCCGCGTCCCCCTTCCCCCGTGTCTTCGCCTCCACTGTCGCAGTCGCCGCCTCCTCCGCAGCCGTCGCCGCCGTCGCCGCCGCTGCCGTCGCCGCTGCTGCCGCCGCCACTTCCGTCGCCGCCGCTCTTGGCCCCTGGGGGTGCTGGTGTGGAGGCGGGTGTTCGTCTTGCGGCTCCTGGGGGTGCCACCGGTGTTGGAGGGGGTTCTCGCTCTGGGGGTGTTGGTTCTGGGGGTGCTGCTGTTGAGGGTTCCGCCGACAGTCGTCCTGCCTAGCCGGCCCGAGGGTTCTGGCCCAGCCGTCGCAGCAGCCACAGCAGCCGTCGCCGCCGGTCTCCGCTCTCCGCTTGCTCGGCCTTCCCTCGCCGGACTGCTCGCCGGTCTCTCTCCCACCGGCTGCTGACCTTCCTTTCTACAGTCCTGTGTTCCCGCCGCTAGACTCGTCTCCGGCCCGTCTCCCACCTCGTTCCCCTTCTGTGTCCCCTCCGCTGTCCCCTGACCCTACACCTCCGTCCCATGTTTGGTCTCGCCGTCCCTCCCGTGCTCGTCCCGTCTCTCCTGTCCTGCGCTCCCACCCTATGTTGCTCCGTTCCCGCTTGTCTCGTCCTCCCCTCCTTTCGTCCCCTCCTCCCTCATCCCTTGCTGTTGCACCTCCTCCGTTCTCTGACGACCTTCCTGCCGCTCGTCCCCTTGTCCCTCGGGTCCTTGCCTCTCTTGTTACTGACCCTTCTGTTCCTGTCTCGCACCTTGACGCGCTTGTCGCTACTGTCGCTGACTTCGCCTCTACCCGCCGCCTTGACTACGCTACCGCTCTGGTCTCTGACCCTGCCCGTCCTCCGTCCGTCGGGGGTGCTCCTGCCCTTGGCAATGATGTCCTAGAGGACAGGCAGTACGAGCTTGCTTTCCTTTCCAAGGATGCTCCCCATCTCTGCTCAATGTTGTTTGTCCCTGAAGGTGACCCTGACGCCTTCGACATCCCGACCCCTCGCACCTACGCTGAGGCCACCTCGGGACCTTGGGCCTCTCAGTGGATAGCTGCCATGGAGCAGGAGATGGCATCTTAGAGGTCCACCGGCACTTACGTCGACGCAGTTCCCCTGCCTGGGGTGAACGTAGTCGATGGTCGGTGGCTCTTCAAGGTGAAGCGCCCCCCTGGAGAGCCGCCTGTCTTCAAGGCGCGCTACGTGGCCAAAGGCTTCAGTCAGCGCGAGGGGGTTGACTTCTTTCTGACCTTCGCCCCAAACCCAAAGTTGACCACTCTTCGGGCGCTGCTACACGTAGCAGCACAGCGCGACTACGAGCTTCACTCCCTCGACTTCTCTACTGCCTTTCTTTAGGGCAGCCTACACGAGCAGGTCTACCTGCGCTGACCACAGGGCTTCAC